AGGACAAGAACAGTTAGGGAAACAATGGAAGCTAGTACTAGAAAGAATGGCTCAAATAAATTGCATCCCCAGCCAAAGCCTCTGTTGGGCAACTTGAAGACTGAACAAGAATCTGTGTTGGGCAACTTGACTGAACAAGAATTTGTATTGGGTAAGAATGACATGCAAATTCAAGCGGGCCCAAGTCCAAAGTCCCTTGCTGATAATGTTCAAAATGAACAAGTGTCCATGTCGCTTGAGACTCAGATTGATGAAGAGAACCGTGCTCGATTGCAAGGGATGTCAGCGGATGAGATTGCTGAAGCACAGGCTGAGATCATGGGAAGGCTGGACCCTGCGCTGCTCAATGTGCTCAAAAGGAGGGGTGAAGAGAAATTGAGGAAGCAAAGAAGCCCCAGTTCGGATAACAATGAACCAAAAGTTTCCCCTAGCTCTCAAAGTGGCATGTCTCATGTGGACACAACAATTACCTCAAACAATTCAAAAACTGCGGAAGAGAATGGGTTGGAGCAGAACTCAGGCCAAGCCAGTGGAAGTTTGTGGACTGCTTGGAGGGAGAGAGTCGAAGCTGCTAGGGAATTAAGATTTTCCTTGGACGGGATTGTTATTTTAAATGGTTTCCACCAGATACCTAAGAGTAGTAAGTTATACTACTCGTTTATATAATTTTTGGGCAGAAGCTAACCTTTTCTTTTCGTTCTATTTCACAAGAAATTATGGATATCGCTCTTGTGTCTTTGCAATATTTACTGTTTTATTTTCTCTAAAAGCCTGGGACTTAATTCTGTAGTTAAATTTTCTTTTACAATGAAATTAATAGCATCAGTAATTTTTGCTGTCTGGGAAGTGCAACTGCATTAATTATGGTACTTTTAAAAAGATAACATGTACCTCAATAGGCTTTCAGTTAATTATTTCTTCCATGTTACAGGTAATGTTTCTGAGCGTGACTTCCTGCGTACTGAGGGGGATCCTGGTGCTGCTGGCTATACAATCAAAGAAGCAGTGTCACTCACTAGGAGTGTGGTCAGTTTATATTCTTGATTTCTGTAGTTGTGAAATAACGGTTTGGATAGCATCTTATGTTCATGGGTCTCTGGTATATCATGTCCGAAATCTTGTAGCTCTTCCTCCTGATTTCTGTTATCTTGTTTTACCATATGCTGTTTGGTGGTTTCAGATTCCAGGACAACGGTCCCTGTCATTGCATCTCCTTTCAACTGTGCTTGATAAGGCATTACAGAATATTCATCAAATGCAAGTGCAGTTTGATAGAACAGATGCTAATAAAGTTGACAAATCTATTGACTGGGAGGCTGTTTGGGCTTATGCACTTGGCCCTGAACCTGAGCTTATTTTATCTCTCAGGTGAGTTATATCCGAATCCTTATATTCCAAAATTTTGTTGAAACCAGTCATGCCTGAATTATCTGCCTTTATCTTGTAATCTTACTCTTCTGTTAGTGAGTTTGTTTTGTGGTGTTATTGCATACCAATTGATCTGTCAAACATGGATAAGCCTTGCTGTTGTTTCACAGAGTTGACTGTTTGTAATATTGAGTTATGATCTTTCTTTAACCATATCTATCAGTATCATCACTAATGAGTAGATTCAGGTGTCATGGTCTACCATTTATATTTTTTACGTCCTTGGTATACCTGCCATGTATAAAACAATCTGTGGATCCAGATAAGGCACAGAAAACATTGATAAAGAAATATAAATGCACTATTATGGTTTGAACCGGCAAGTTCTTTTATTGTCTATTCTAAAAATACTTTTTAGATCATTAGGAATCAGTTTTAGCTTGATATATGCTCCAGGAATCAGTTCTAGCCTGATATGTGCTCCACGTGTACACTTGTACTGTCAGAATAATACATGATTATTTATCCTCTGTACCTTTTATTATCATGACCTAGATAACAAGGAGGTATATTGTTGCCCAGATTAATGGTTTCTTAAAATTCATTACATGTATTCAACCAGAGTTATTCTAAATTTTCTGTTCATTTATTGGATCATAAAAGGCAAGATAGTCTAGTTTTCATCTTTACATGTTATACTTAACTCGTCATATTCCCCTTGAGAAAAAGTTAAGTGTGTTCTCTCTGTTTGCTGCTTATATATCCAAGCTAGAGCCATATGCCCCTCAAAAAATTATTGGATGACTTAGATTTATCATCAACCAATGGTAGTATTTGATAGAATATAACAGTTAACCTGAGGATATAATTATTTACTTGGAGATACTTCACCATTTTCTGATTCTTTGATTTTTTTTTTTTGGACTTAATAATATTGCAATTTAACCTCTGAATTGTAGGCTTTGTCTCGATGATAACCATAGTTCTGTAGTTCTAGCTTGTGCCAAAGTTCTTCACTGCATATTGAGCTATGATGTGAATGAGAACTTCTTTGATATCTCAGAGGTAGAGTTTTTCTTTCCTTTTCTTCCTACTATTATACTTATATATTTCTTTGTTTTTTTAATTATCTATCAGTGTTTAATTACTTCAAGTGTGATGTATTCTGCTCTCAGAAAATAGCAACTCGTCATAAGGATACATTTACTGCCCCTGTATTTAGAAGTAAACCAGAGATTGCTGTTGGTTTCCTTCGTGGTGGATTCTGGAAGTACAATGCTAAGCCTTCAAATATTCTTGCTCTTGATGAGGAAATTATTGATGATGAGACTGAAGGGAAACGTACAATTCAGGATGATGTTGTGGTTGCCGGACAAGATTTTGCTGCAGGTTTGGTGCGGATGGGAATCCTTCCAAGGCTTCGTTATCTTTTGGAGGTTAGTTCTTTATTTTCTTTTTACAGAACAGAGCAAACACGGATTTACCAATTAGTAGTGTTATATATATAGTAAGATACTGCTAGAAAAGTTGTTGATTAAAGGACTTTTTAAGAACTTGTGGAAAGATGATCTTCAGTTTCCTCTTAAAGTGTTTTGTTTTGTGTGGTTTCAGTCAGACCCTACAGCGACTTTGGAAGAATACATCATTTCTTTACTTATAGCTATTGCTAGGCATTCCCCAAAATGTGCAAATGCAGTCATGAATTGTCAAAGGCTAATCCAAACAGTTGTCAGCAGATTTATTGCAAATGAGAGTGTAGAAATCCAGCCTTCTAAAATAAAGTCTGTTAGACTTCTAAAGGTAGGTAGTTTATGTACTTTTATTTCCAGTTGTCTTATAGGTTTTGTTCCTAGTACTATTAGATGGGAATTGTACCTGCATTTAATTTGAGATAAAATTAATACTTATATCCCTAATTTTGTGTATATAAAAGGTGTTGGCTCAATCTGATGGGAGGAATTGTGTTGATTTTATAAAGAATGGGAGTTTCCAAACTATGACATGGCATTTGTATCAATCTATTTCCTTCCTTGACAAATGGGTAAAATCTGGAAAGGAAAACTGTCAACTTTCTTCGGCTTTGATGGTTGAACAGCTGCGTTTTTGGAAGGTTTGCATTCAGCATGGGCATTGTGTGTCATACTTCTCAGATATTTTCCCCAACTTGTGCATATGGCTGAACCCACCTATAATTGAAAGGCTTGTAGAGAATGATGTACTTAGTGAATTTGCATCCATCACTACGGAGGGCTACCTTGTGCTGGAGGCTTTGGCTAGAAGGCTTCCAAGTTTGTTCTCAAAGAAGAATCTGAGCAATCAAATCTCTGAGTATTCTGGTGATGACACTGAGTTCTGGTCTTGGAGCCATGTTGGTCCAATGGTTGATATAGCTTTGAAGTGGATAGTTATGAAGAGTGATCCTAGCATATGTAATTTATTTAAGAGCGAAAATGGAGTTGATGTTCTTTTTGTGTCCCAAGATTTATCAGTGACTTCCTTGTTATGGGTGTATTCAGCTGTCATGCACATGCTTTCCAGAGTGCTTGAAAAAGTGATCCCAGATGATACTGTCCACTCGCATGAAAGTGGTAGTCTTGTGCCATGGCTTCCAGAGTTTGTTCCTAAAGTTGGACTTGAAATTATTAAAAATGGGTTTATGGACCTTTCAGATACTAATGATGCAAAATATGGAAAAGATCCTAATGGAAGTGGCTCTTTCATTGAGAAACTTTGTCATTTGAGAAGTCAGGGTACATGTGAAACATCATTAGCTTCTGTATGTTGCTTACAGGGGTTAGTGGGGATTATCATTAGCATTGATAAATTGATAATGTTAGCCAGGACAGGCGTCCAAACTCCTTCCCAAAATTACACTTCAACAAGAGAAGAGAAAATCCTCAAGGATGGTATACTTGGGGGCTGTTTGGTTGAATTGAGAAGTGTGCAAAATACTTTTATGAAGTTAGTTGCTTCAGACTGGCACCTTGTGCAGTCCATTGAGATGTTTGGCAGGGGTGGTCCTGCTCCTGGAGCGGGAGTTGGCTGGGGTGCCTCTGGTGGAGGATTTTGGTCTGCTACTTTTTTGTTGTCTCAAGCTGATTCAAGATTTCTCATTGACCTACTTGAAATTTGGAAGATTGTGTCCAATTTTGATATCCCCACCGAAGAAGAAATGACTTTAACTATGCTGGCAATTAATTCATCTCTAGGAGTATGTGTAACTGCAGGACCTACAGATGGGACTTTTGTGAAAAAGGCAATAAATATTTTGCTTGATGTCTCAGTTCTGAAGTATCTTGATCTCTGTATTAGGCGTTTTCTTTTCTCGAATAAGGGATTTAAAGTGTTTGATTGGGAGTACAAGGAAGAGGATTACCTGCTCTTCAGTAAAAAATTAGCTTCCCATT